GTGCACCACATGGGGATCGTTTTATCAATAATGGGTACCTAATGAATTAGATGTAAAAAAATCAAGTTTGTCCTGGTATTATAGATTAAACCGGATATTGTCGGGCTCGAAATTGGTTGGCATAATTAATGCGAAAAAGTATATTTTGGGTACTTACCTAATTATTATAAACTTTATTTAACATATACTTATTTTATGGGATAGGTTATAGTTTTATGTTAATAATAGAAATAATTTTAATAAATAATTATAATTATAATATAATTTAATTAATATAAAAGTAATATTTATTTATTGTATTAATTAAGGGTATTTATTATTTTAGTGTGCTAAAACTAAAGATTCGAGGAGCGGCGAGCTTCGCTTGCTCCGCCTCCTCCTTTGTTGGCGCTATAGGCGCCACGAAACCCCTGGTCTGTGTGTTTGTATCTGTGGGTCGTGGGGGAGGCGTTTCTCGAATTTTAGTCTTAGGTAGTTTCGTACATTGTAAAACGAACCGGTACACATTTAGATTTTTAATAAAACGATAATATAATAAGCAATAACAACGTTTGAAATATCCTTTATTTTAATTACTTGGGGTTAGTCTTTTATTGTCGCTACTTTTTTGTTTTTTTACATGTTTATACGGTATTATGTTGTAATATTGTAGGTTTTAACGTTTAAATAGTTTAACGTTATATTTACGCGTTTACACTTACGCGTTTGCACCTACAACCACGTTTAAAATATCTTCTATTTTAATTATTCGAGGCTAGTCTTTTACTTTCGTTACCTTCTTGTTTTTTTTACATATTTATATAATATTACGTTATAATATTGCAAGCTTTGACGTTTAAATAGCTTTAAAACGTTATATTCACGTGTTTATATTTACGCGTTTATATTTTAACTACTTACAACCACTTATAACCACGTTTAAAATACCTTTTATTTTAATTATTTGGGGTTAGTTTTTTACTTTCGCTACTTCTTGTTTTTTTTTGTATGTTATACGATATTGCGTTGTAATGTTATAAGCTTTGACGTTTATTGAAACTATTGCGTTGCGACCGGCGTTACGATCGGTGTTACGATCAGTGCTATAGTTAATTTCGACCCAAAACGCGTACGTACTTATTTAAATAATCGAATTAATATTTACTTTTTATATAAAGACTTTATTTACTATAAACGCGTTGAAATTAATGTTTTCAATTGATGTTTTTAATTGATTTAATTATTATGTAGGCCGTTTAAAAGGAAAATGTTTAAAATTACCTTAGATTAAAGATTTGAAAATGTTTTGGGGGGGTGTGCCGGGGTGTGATTGGTTGGGGAAAAGGTTGGGGGAGGTGGGAGGTATTCCCCCCGAACCATTTTTAAATTTCTAGTTTAAGGTTATTAAGATAAAGTATTTAAATGTGTTTTTTTTTTTGTTATTTTTTTTATTTTAAAGTTATATTATCTTTATTGGCGTTAATCTTAATTTTTGTTTAATTTATGTTAATTTAATTTTTAAAAAATTAATAAATATTTTATTAAGTTTAAATATTATAAATTAACGTTTATTAGGTATTATATTATTTAATTAAGCTTATAATATGGCGTTTTTAACCTATTATTATTATATTATAACCGTTAAAAAAAAAGGGTTTTGTTTTTTTATTTATTAAGTTACGAATATTGCGATTAATTAAACTATTATTTCTTTTAAATTTTATAAATTGTTTAATAAAAACGTGGGTATTTTTAAAAGTTTTTTAAAGGTTTTAAAGATTATAAAGTAGTGTATATTATTTTATTAACATTATTAATTAAGTAAATAAAAGTTATATATTATCGATTATTTTATTTATATTTAAAGGTTATAATTTTGAATTAAATTAGTTTAAATAAATATTATATAATAAAAAAGTTTTTTTATTAATGTTTATATATACTTATAATATTTATTGTTTATAAATAAACGTAATAACTTAATATTTATTGTAGGTAATATTTTTATGACGAAATATATTTTTAAAGGTAAATAAACGTTTATATTAAAAGATTGTATTTTATTGTTTAAATATGCTGGTAAATAAACAAAAATTAATTTATTTTTAAATATTTTAATATAAAAAAACGTTAACGTAAGTAACGTAGTTATTTAAAATTAATACCTTATAATTATTGTGATAATATAGTTTTATTTCAGGTAAAAAAACGTTTTTAAGTTATTTATTTACTATTGTTATATTTATTTAATTTTTATTAATAATTGTATATTTTTATTTAAGAATTATTTGGTTAAATTATTAGGTTTAAAGTTATTATTTATTTATATAAAGATTAAAATGTTTGGGTGTTTTAGGTATTAATTATTTAATAATAGTAATTTACGTAATAGTTATAAATTTAGTTATATTATTTGTTACTTTTTTAATGTTATAAAAATAATAATATTTTTAATTTATTTTTTTAAAGGTTAATTTTTTATATTATATTTGTTTCGGGTTTAATATTATACTTTTTTTTATATATTAATAAAAAAGGAATAAAAAAACTGTTACAACTTTTAAATCTTTTTATTATACGGTAATATTTATAAAAGTTTTATAATTTTATTAATATTTAGGTTACGTTTTTCAAATCGAAACCTAATATATACTAATTTCGTAATTTTTAATTTATAATATATCTTTCGTAAATGAAATTATAATATATTTTTAAAAACCTATTAAAATAATTTTTAAAAGTTATCCAATTAATTACTTTTTATTTTTATTTTAAATATAAAAATTAAAATTTATAGTTTTTATATAATAGTCTTTTATTTTTTTAAATTGTTAAAATAACGTAAATAATAATATATTATAAAAATTGTAAATATAATATAATATAACGTTATTTACATTTTAATTATAACTAATAAATATGTTTTTTTTATTTTTAATATAAATGATTATTTTAATTAATTAAATAAGTTTTAATATTGTAATTATTAAAAATATAATAGGGATATATCGGTAGTTGACCCAATATAATATCCTATAAAGTGGGTATGTGCCAAATGGGGTCCATAGCGGTTAGGTACTTACATAGAACAATTAGAAGATTCCGGGGTATGATAAGATGGCCTTATCGATAGGTAGTCGTTACCTTTCCTCACCCAAGTATGATCAACCCCAATTGACCCCCATTATTTGTCAATTGATTTTTTTAAACTCGCCTTGCAACTCGCGGAAGCTCTTCAACTTTGTTTCTAATCGTCAAAGTAAGCTGGTAAGCTGCCCTCACTTGCCATACTGGCGGGTGCGGGCGTCCTTCAATTAAACCGGACAATCGAGAGACAAGACAGATCTCATCCAACTGTCAGACCAATAAGGCTTCATCAATTCCCGCCCCGCTCGCCCTGCGTAGTGATTGGCTTTGCTGCCGTCGGATCCATTCATCTACTCAAAAATTCAAGCCAACGAGGACAACCACGTTGCACACGACACTAACATCGGTATCGTGCACACTACATTGGTCCTGTCGGTTAGGCGGCTTCACCCACCGCGACCAATTCAGGGACCATTCAGAGACCATCTAGAGACCATCTAAACACTTGCTTCTTGTACCGTTTCATTCATGAGGCGAAGTTAGTGCAAGTATTGGAGAGGGAGGACATGTCGAAACCCAATGAGCCTTGAAATCCAAGCTTATCACCCGCTATCTTCCAATATCCGCTCCCGAGCATGGCCAAGTGGTTGTGCATCATGCTGTCAAACTTCCGTCTACTATGTAGCTCCTCATCCGTCCAGTCCCATCTCCCGGACCTTTTCTACGTGGGTCTGACCCATTCTTATTCCGTCTGTTTGCAGTTCCTATCGATTTTTGGACCGCTACCAACTTCCTTGTCGAGTCATAACGTTTGCCATTTATTCCTTTTTACTTGGAAATTTTGCGATTGATTACTCTGGTCCCAGATCCAGATCTGTCTCAACCCTAGCCCAACCCCCTCGCGACGTGGCGCCAATACCATCGTGTCCATCCGCGGCTCTTGAGCACGATATGGATCCCAGAAGCGTGAGATCTCACTCCACTTTCCCTCGTTCAAACCGTGGGGTATGTCTCATCTAAGTAGTGCCTCTCTCGATAATGCTCGATAATGTAGGCTAGGTAGTCATCAATTATGTGTACGTTTTATAGTTGGTCCCGTTCTTCCAAACGTCATTTATCGTTCCGAGCTCGCATTGAGAGAATTCTTTACACCCCATACGCCCATCTTCTGTCCAGTTAACTCATTCCCCTCCCACCCATCATCAGAGCCGTAATTATTTTTCATAGGTAGAGCCTATATGGTTTGCTCTATCTTCATCTAGTCGTCGCATTTCGCTTGGACCAGATACCCAATAGCTGTATTTGGCAGCTCAGTTGCCCAATAGCTTGCTAGTTTCTGCAAATACCCGCATCGTACTCGTCACTCTGCATAGAGAGCAACCGAGATAATTGTTTAAATCACGGGCAAGACGTGCTTTTCGCGCGCACCGGCGGAATATGTCGGATCAAGGAGGAATTTCGTATAGTCCTGCCCGGGTCAATCCATTTGCAAATGTCCAAGTAGCTAGCTACCCAGAGCATGTTCAGGTAGCCAACTACTCGCAAATAGCATATCTTAATACTCAGGAGTCAGAAGGAGAAGGAGAAGAAGAAGAAGAGCCCGTAGAACAAGGTATATTAGGTACCTAAGTTATTATTCTAATTGAATTGTTTGCGCTAACATGCTCCACAGAATATGAGCCGGAATACGATGTAAATGAAGAGCAGTTTGAGCCTCCAGCACCCCACAGATCCCCGCCCGCGATATCTTCACCCACGATATCCTCACCCCCCATAGCGTTACATAAGTCAAAGAAAGAAAAGGCTAAACTACCTACGCCAAAAGAACCTAGCTCAGAGAAGCAGCCTAGTAAACCACTGACACAAAAGCAAAAGAAGCAAGCCAAAAGAGGGAAAAGGAAAAGGCTAAAAAAGGGGCGAAAAATGCAGCGAAGATGACGCCAAACACAGAATCATCAGAATCCCCACCCCCGCCAGCATCTGAAGCTATTCCAGCCGAGCCTTCTACAGACGAGGCTAATAAGTCAAAGGACATGGCCCCGTCGCTACAGTCGACTGACTCCAATTCATCTAAACCCCCTGAGCCCTCTGAGCCTCCTGAACCCCCTGAACAACCTAATGAGAATGAAGCGGCAAAAGTGGCGGATAAGCAGGCAGAAAAGGTTGAGATCATATCGTCGACTGAGTCAGAAAGCATACCTTCTTCGGGTGAACAGTCCAACGAGCAAAAGACAAAGGAGCCGGCTTCGGAACCTGTGAGTCTATATATTGAGTCTACATATCTGATATTTTAAACTGTTACATATAAACACTAGGTTTTTAATGGCCCCCCTCAGAGTTACTGACATGTTATAGGCCCCTAAGGCTGAGATTTCCGAGTCTTCTCAATTAGAGAAATCAGGTGTAGCTGCTGATACACATCCGATCAGCACTACTGAGAGCGATGCACCTGCGGATATACAAAAGCCTGACGCACCAGCCCTTAATACCGATGAATCTAAACCCGACATAAGCAAGCAGGGTGCAGACGTGGCCAGTGAAACTAATAGAGACGTTCTCGGTGAAGACAACGACCAAGAGACCACGCCAACCACAAGCGTAGAAGCTATATCGGAGCCTCAAACAGGGGAAGCTGCGGATGAGCCAACAGTTGAGCCTGAAAAGTTGAAAGATACGCCCGAGGAGAATTCGAAAGAAGAAAGTAATGATCCTCAAGATGCTGCTCATGAAAGCGCATCTAATAGCGAGTCAGACTCGGGCGCCACCGTCGAGATAAGCGAGCCCCTTGGCGAGTCAAATTCGGATACGAAAACAGCTCAGGAAAGCAACGAAGCGGGAAAACCGGCCGATACACAAAAGGCCGAAACGCTTGAGGGCGTCAATGAGGCACTACCAGACGGGGTTCCTACCAATGGCACAGGCGAAACCCTCGACAAGTCTGAGGACCCTCAAGATCCTAAAACAGAATCAAACGATGAGAATACTACGACTGAAGAAAAAGCGCCATCACCTAACAATAAAGATGAGCTTAGTGGCGAGGATATCAAGCAAGAGGCTTCCAGTGATCCAGAGCCGTCCGAGGTCGCTCTAGAGGATCCAAATGCCTCTAAATTTGAGAAAACGACGCCAGCTACTACTGAGCCGGTGACCGAGCCACAAGAACAGATCAATAACAACGAAGAGACTAAACTTCTAGAAGTCAAGGATGACGAGAGCCAATCTGCGATTAATCCCGATGACGTCGCAACCCCAAAGGAGACCGTCAATGCGGACTTAAAGGATATGTCTACGGCATTACCGCCAGAGAGTGAAAGTGCCACCCAGGAAGATAGCCCAACCAAAGAGAATCCCGGGGAACTCGCCGCTGTGAAAAGTCAGGAACAGGCAGAGCCATCCGAACAGGTTGCATATATCCCAGACCCAGTCGCTATCGGTATTCCAGAGATTCCGGCTGTCCAGTTAAATGACAACGCGGAGAAGCTCCCTGAAACTGGTTTGGAGCCCACAGAAGGATCTAAGGACCTAAAGGTAACCGATGAGGCAGCCCCAGAACAAACAGAGACGAGTAAGGTTGATAACGTCGAATCTGCTACCGGGGAGTCGGTCAAACCTCAAGAACCTGAGATTGCTCTTGGCCCTGAAGCTAAAGAACAGCCTATAGTCTCTGAGCAAACGGATGCCGAGTCCTTATCCGCGCCTAATGATATCTCCGCACAGGATGAACCTATCTCTCAAGAATCTGTCCCCGAAGAGTCCGTTCTTAAGGCGCCAATCTCTGCAGAACCCGTTTCAGGAGAACCGGCCTCTCCAGAACCTACTTCTGAAGGGGTCGTTTCAGAAGAAATCGGTTCTTCAAATTCCGACTCTCAAGACCCTATTTCTCAAGAAACTGCCACGAAAGAGGCTGTTAGTGAAGAACCCGGCATCCAAGAGTCCACTTCCCAAGAAGCCACCCCCAAAGAGCACTTTCCCAAAGACCCGGCCCCTCAAGAACCTATTACCCCTGTTTCTGAAGACCCCGTCCCTCAGGAAGCCGCCCCTGAAGAAAATATCTCCCTTGATACTCCCCAGGAAAATGCCTGTCAAGGAACAGTCCCTACAGAACCTTCCCCGCAGGAACCTACTTCTGAAGAGTCTGCGTCTCAAGAAGCAGTCCCTACAGAAACTATCTCTGAAGATCTGGCCTCTAAAGAAGTTGCTAAAGAACCCGCGCAAAACTCAGGCTCTCGGGAACTCAGTTCTGAGCAAACTGTTCCACCAGAGTTTGCTTCCCAAGAAGTCGTTCCCGAGGAACTTGCTGAAAATCCTGCCCCTCAAAATCATGCTTCTGAAGATCTCGTTCCTCAAGGGTCAGACTCCCAAGAACCCGTTGTCAAAGAACCTGTTTCTCAAGACAATAGCCCTCAAGACCCAGTCTCCCAAGATTCTGTACCTCAAAAATTTGCCTCTCAAGAGCCCGCTCCCCAAGAGTCGGCCAGTGATGATCAGAGCCCACCGCAGGAACCCGACCCCCAAGGTGAAACTCCGGTAGTATCCCAAGATGAGGTACAAGGCTTACCGGAAACATCTACCGAAGAGGTTGGGCAATCCACTGTCCTGGAGGCAAATTCGCCCATTAATGACGGTGATAAGCAACTATCGGATCAGCTAAATACTCAGTCCAATGCTAACAATGACAGCGATGAGCAGCCAATTTCTGAATCAGCTCCGGAGTCCACTAATGAGCCCATACAAGAGACCACTCGAGGAATAACTCCTTCTGAGCCGCCTATCCCAAGCGAGGATAACTCATTTGACCCGCCTCCAACAGGTTCGGATGACAAGAAGATAACCGATGCCCCCGGCTCATCATCCGAGGATGAATTTGTTATCGTCGATAAAATAGACGATGAAGTGGATAAGGTTGTGGACAGCCCAGAGCAGCGGAAACAACCAAGCGATGAGAAACCAAATGACTCCTCACAACTAGACCCTGAGGAAGAACATCAAATTATAACCCTGAATGAGACTGTCAGCCAGGATCATCAAAGGGAAGATGGGGGTTCGTCTCCTGATCAATCCCAGGAGCTTCTAGGAAATGGGGATGACGATATATCCAACAATGCGCAGCCTCGTGATCCTAGCAGTTCAAGTGCCGAAGCAGTTATTTCGAAGCCTACTTTGGAACCGTCTCTCCCAGAAGATACTACATCAGCTCAGGTAGACAAAGAACATGAACAAGAGGTCGAGAAACAAGAACCCGATCAGCATGCGGGTATTCTCGCCGAACAGCAGACTGAATCGCACGATGGCGTGGAAGCTCAAGAGGAAGAAGAAACGCCCCAAGAATCCACCCCAGAGGTTACCAATGACCAAACTGCGGATGCCAATACTGATTTACCAGGACCCCCCGTCGACAGCAATTCACAAAGCGCCGGCGTAAATGAAAAGGAGAAGCCTATTGATCCTAGCGCATCTAGGTCGGAAGTAATCGTTGAGTCTGAGGACATAGTTTCGAAGGATGATCCAACAGAGCCTCTCCCCGATGTCGGGAAGGAGGATGTCGAAGAAAAAGCAATAATTAAGCATGATCCCGACAATGGGGTGACTCAGTCAACCCCAGCAGACGAGGCTACTATTGATGACCAGGCAGCTCCTAAATCCGAGGTGCCAGCTCTGAATGACGTTTCTCCCGGCCAGTCCGAGTCTGATCTTAACGAAACTACTCCTTTAGTCAAGGCTGAATCACGCCCAATTGCTCCTACAGAGCCAGAGTTGTCTCGGCAGATGGAAAACAAACAGGCATCTGGTAGTCAGCCAGGTCTTGAGACTGGATCCCCACCCATATATCTTCCAGAAGATCCCGTGGAAGTGCCAGCCAGTTCGCAAGAAACTGAAAAACAACCAGATCAAACCCCACTCCCTGAAAATGAGTCGGATGGCGAAAAACTACCTCAAGAGGCTACAAACCTCGGTAAAACAAATGGTGAGGAAGAAACATCGAAGGAAATACATTCTCCAGACCAAGCAGCAGAACCAGTATCCGTCGATTCCGAGACAGAAAACCACGATGACCACCAGTCTACCCTTCCATCTAGCCTTGGACAAGAAGAGCAGTTAGATTCAAAATCAGGCCCAATTCTAGAAGAAGCCGAACAGCCCGGCGAAAATGAAAAGCTTGAAGAGGAAGGGGAGAAGAGTACAGAGGAACAAGAAAAGGCTCACGAGATTCACCGTGGAACCCTGGAGCCCGTTGAGATGCCGTCGGTCGTTTCACAAGATCAGACCAGCCTAGATCAGACTGAGCCAGACACTTCATTATTGGCTGAGCCCAAGGAATTGATATCTCAACCGCTTACCGTGAATTCTCGGGGATCTGTGGCTGAGGATAAAGGAGAAGAGGCTATTGACAAAGTACAGGAGCAGGAGCCCGCGTCCTCACCTTTACCAACGGAATCTCTAACCGAACCCCTACAAGCGTCTATTCATGAGGAAAGCGAATCGCGAGATATAACACCTTCGGAGTCAGCCTTGGCTCAAGAAACTAAAGCTGAGCAAGATTTGGATTCCCATGGGGATGCAAGTTCTGGGTCTTCACAAACTCCTCTCGATCATGAATCGACCGTTATCGGAGAGTCGGATCCAGACCCAACACCCAATAAGGTTATTCAGGGAGAGCCAGTCATTCCCGAGAAAGTAAATACGGAGGGTCAGATAATTTCCGATGAGGAAACTTTCGTCGAGCAAACATCTGTTTTCCCTGTTAATGATCAAGTCTCTGTCGGAAGCCAGAATTCTCAAGACCATGTCTCTGTTGACCCAATCTCCACCAAAGAGCAAGCCACCGCGGAGGACAAGCCAAAAGAAGAATCTCTAACCGAACTTCCTGTGCCAAGTCAGCCCCAGAAAAACGAGGCAGAGGAAGCCGCAAATAACAACAGCCAAGCTGTTCCGGAAGAGCTCACTATCGAGGTAGCAGATAAGGTTGATGAAGAGCCTGAGGCTTCTGAGCCAATTCAAGGGCAAGCCCCTGCCGAGAGTCAAGTCCCTGTTGACAAAATGCCTACCGAAGACCGTCCGGTGGAAGTTAAACCTACGGAAGATACGCCTCCAGAGGACCAGGCCCCTGTTGGGAGCCAATCCCCTATCGAGAGCCAGACCTTTATCGACGACAAAGAGGTTATCGATAACAGCACACCCGTTGTTCCTAACCCTTTAGAAGATAGTTCTAATGATACTATTTCGGTAGCAGTTGAGTCGCCTACGGAAAATTCGCCTGATCAGCCGCCCGAGTCTGACCTACATAAACCTCAAAATCACGAATTAGATACTGCGGAGCCTAGTGACACATCAAACGAGTTGGATAGGGAGCCTATAGTTTCTGGACTCACTGAAGGCCAAATTCCTGACAGGCCAGTCTCTAAGCCTATTGCAGAGGCTAACACTGAACAGTCCTCGGGAGAAGAAACAAAAGGAGAGTCAATGAGTACCACCATTGTGCTTGATATGCCCCAGAAGAACGAATTGAGCGAGGGTATAGATCCTGAAAATAAGTCCATTCCCGAGGAACCAGCGGTAATTCACGTACAAGACAACCAGAATGAGGAGCCCAATACCCCTCTATCAGATTCCACCACCGGCGAACAAGTTTTCCCACAAGAAGCCGAGTTATCGAGCGAGTCTATTGTTCCGATCCAGCCACAAGAGAACAAAGATGCAGAGACCACTAGTCCTAGGGAAAATGTCGTCTCGGAGGAAGTAGAGGCAGTTTATATACAAGACAGTCAGAGCGGAGAACCTGATTCCAATCCATCAGATCTTTCCACCCAGGATCCGACTCCTTCACAAGAACCTAATCCCGTAGATCAAATTTCTACAAGATCAGGTGATAAGGCAGAAGTTTTACTAAACATATCTTCAGGTGATACTACGCAGCCTACTATTACTGATTCGGAGCCTCCCGTTGATGGTGGCAGCAAGCAACTTCATACCCAGGATTCTGAGGGTGACGCACCGGATGAAGATATTAACGATCCGGAACAGCGGGAAATTACATGTGAGGAACCATCAGCGCCCATCACTTCCCTGCAGCTTCCAGATAATAACGATGATAATGCTGTCAATGGGGCCCAAGCAGAACCAGAACAAGTCCAACCTACAGAAAGCAGCGAGCCAGCTAGAGTGGACGTGATTTCAGATATTAAGGAGGCCACAATCGACGAGCACCCCGCTCGTGGCACGAACGAGACGCTTAATCTTGAGAATGTGCCCCGCCTTGAGGTGACAGGAAATGACTCGCCTATCATAGTCGAAAAGTTGGCGCCTCCATCCCATGAAAAGGCAGCTCAGAGCATCGAAGTAATTCAACAGGAAGCCGAGAGCCCGCCCATAGCTAAACCTGAAGAAGCTGAGGATTCCTCCAAGCAACCACATAGTGAAACTACTGCATCAGATCAATCCGAAAGAACCCAAGGAGGTGCTACAGGTCTTAGGGATACAGCCATACCGGAAGAGTCCCTTAATGACACCATTGTGCCAGATCAAAACCAGGAGAATAAAGAGGCGACTAGAGATCTAGGCAAAAAAACTATTGTAGTTGAACCTGTCATTAATAACAGCCCAAGGGCTATAAGAGCGCCCAATGGAAATACCAGAGTGATCAAAGAGGTTCAAGCTGAGAAAGTACGAAGTGATGACGAGAGCAAGGATACCGTTGGGCCCATCCCGACTGACGGCGGGCCAGTCCGGAAGGCCCCGAAAGGTGAGGAGCAGTTGTTTTCAAGTTTAGTAGGAGATACCCCTGGCATTGGAGCGAATGATTTTGATGATACCCCCGAGTCAGTTCCAGAGCGTTTGTTTTCAGTTGAGGAAGTGAAGGTTTCAGGGAAGGACAGTCAAGATATTGCAGATGCGCCCGATCCAATCCAGATCGGTGAAAGTTTATATACCGGCGAGTCATCTCCGGAGCCTCGGGAGGATATTAAGAGCCTCATTAGATCATCGACCCAGGATCGCCCCCAGACGCTAAGCGAACAGAGCGAAGATGCTAAGCTTATTTTTGTTTCTGCCCTGGAAGTCCAGGATGCAATCGAGACTCAAAACCGATCACTTGCACTTCAGGACAGCTCTAATGAAGAAATGGAGGTGTTCCCGGGAGTACGGCTGGGAGAATATGCAAGCATTTCTTCTCCAGTGGATGGCACAGCTTCTCCGCAAGTACAAGAAGATGAAGGTAGTGGTTCGGAAATACCAGAAGTACTTAAACTTAATATTAGGAGTGGCTCACAAGACCTTCCCGAAATCACTGCAGATATTACGGACGAAGATGAAATTCTGTCCAGTAATAATAATCAGGAGCGGACTAGTGAGGAACAACAAGGAGCAATTCCTGAAACATCTATCAATGAGCCAATTGAAGAATTTCAGGATTCGAGCTTTGTCAATATCTCCAGCGTGGACCTTAAGAGCAGCCCAGAGCTTACACCTCAAGAACTAAATAAGGATGAGGATCACGATATCTTAGCCTTCTCGAAGAAATTACAACCTGAAATCAGTGGCGTGGTCACCTCCAAGCCATTGGGAACGGATCAAGGTTCTGGAAGCAAGGAGTCATCACCCCAGCAAAAGTCCAAGTTCATTCCGTCCGATACGCCTGAGGTATTAGATATAACAAAGGCCTCCGATGTTCCCCTAGCTTCCACGAAGGTGAAAAGGCTAGCAAATAACTTAGAGGCCACAAGGGATCACTCAAACATGGTCAAATTAGGAATTTTCAGACCTACGGCATTTACAGTCGCTGGTGGAGCGCTTGCTCGCAGAAACTTAGTAAAGAGTGACGATGAGGAAGCAGCGTCTAGTCTACCACCCAACTCTGCAGAGGTCCTCGTGGAGAAACTGGCAGCACCTGAACCATTAGCCGTATCCCGCGACCTCGGTTCATTAGAGAAGTCTATCAGCTCTCTCCCAAGCGAAGGTGACGAGGAGTGCAGTTCGCTCCAAAAACCGTCTAAGCCAGCCGATCCTTTCGATGCACCTATACCCACCAGAGACGAATCGGACCGTGAAACCAAAAGCGTTCAGAATGACCCCAGTCACCAAGCCGCCAAGTCCCAACAAGAGTTGGCTCGTGCTATTACGCCCGAGTCGCCAGAGATAATAGCATCAACTATATCTCTCTCTGAATCATTTACAGTAATCGAAAGGGAACCAATTCCACAAAAGAGCAGCAAGCGAACACATAGGCCATCTCTAGTACATTCAAGTACTCAGACTGAAGATGACCATGAGTCCGGCTCTCAACCGAGTTGGAGTTTCATCAACTTCGCCGACCTAGAGCCCCGCTCAAAAACTCCAGGAATTAGTCTTCCAGATCTCACAGACTCCAAAGCAAGAGCATTGGGGCGCGCGAAGAGCGTTAGAAAGAAACGCAGGCAAACACTCAAGCAAGCAGAGGAAGCGGTAGCAACCGCCGTTATATTATATGCTGCAGCTCAGGGGCTTAGCCCTTCATCTAGTTCTCTTTTAGGTAGTCCCCAAATCGAGAACAATGCAGGTGAAACACTAGAGCCGACTCAGAAAGTTCCGCAGGAATCGGATGGTTTTTTTCCGCCGGGTATTACAGCAGGGAATCAGAGCGTTGGCCAAAATGATTATTCATTGCCCGTTGCTGACCTGTCTACAGACGATGAAGAAAAGAAATCCGCAGATGAGCGACATCATAGCCACCGACGCCGCCACCACCACCATCATCATCATCATTCCTCTCGATCGAAAGATTTCAAGGGAAGCGGTGAACACCTTCAGCCTCGCAATACCCGTATTGAAAGCAATCACTCAATAAAGTCTTCTTCCGATCGCTCGATCCCTCAGACACCTAAGAGAGACAGTGGCTTTTCTGTTGAGAGCTCGCGCACTACCGATTCCTCAAACCGCAGACATCGCACCCCCGAAGAGCAAGCTGCCCATGAGAGGCGTAAGGAAGAACGACGCGCTGCTCGTGAAGCGTACGATAAGGCACAGGAGGAAAAAGGCAAGGACTTGGAGGCGCCGCCAAGTGATCGCCACTCTTCCCACCGTAGCTCGAGACGGCACAGTATATCACACTCGGAAAGATCGCAAGCTGAGAGGCGTTCCGAAAGGTCCCAGCCCGAAAAATACTCCGAAAGGTCTCAGCCTGAGAAATACTCTGAAAGATCCTTCTCGGAAAGATATTCTGAAAGACCCCAGCCCGAAAGATATTCTGAGCGATCTCACTCCGAGAGACACCCCGCCAAGGAGAGTGCTTCATCCTCAAACAAGAGGTTTTTCGACATGAGGCACGGCGAAAGCTCTTTGGCATCGAACTACGTTCCTCGCACTAGAAGTAATAGCACCAACGTTCCTCCTCCAGTGTTCAAAGAGCCATCGAAATCATCAGGACTCCTTAGACGTACCAACACCGGCAAATCTAGCAAGTCTCACCAAGAGTCCGGGGAAATCCCCCGGCCCAGAAGCCATAGGTCTTATGACCATGACCACGACCACGACCACGACGAGAACAACTCGCCTAAAAGACGCAGATCCGAGGCAAAGATTAGCGGCTCACTTGAGTCCACCAGCTCCAAAACCACTCCTCCCTCCCCTACTAAGGATGAGCATAGACAGTTGAGGCAAAAGGAGCGGCAGAAAGCTCGAGAGGCCACCGAAGCTGCCGAGGCTAAGAAAAAATCTGGAAAGATCCGCGCCGCTTTCAAGAAGCTCTTTTCTTAGGGTTAGGACTATTACAAAAGTCCTAGGGAGAAGCTTAGCGAGATTGAAAACCCCCCTCCCCCGAAATGATTTAACGAATTTTCGAATTCTTGTAACGCTAACGAATCATGTTTTCGTTTCATTTCATATGTCGGGATGAGAACCTACGCAGGTTCTTGTTATGATGAAACGTTACTTCTCAATTGTATTGTCACGATATGTATGAAAGCATGTATGAGGATCACGGTTTCATATTTATGATCTTGTTCCAGTATTCTTCAAGTATATGTACTTGAAGGGGTGTAAAGGAAGCTACCTTACCTAACCCAGGTATCCGTTATGAATACATAAGAGGTTTATTTCTTAGTGTGTAAAATGAATGTTTTTACAGTCCAACTCAGTGCTCTATCGTGTTTCCTGCTTGTATACAGAATACTTCATCAATTCCCGCAATTAGGTCAATGCGAGCACCCTGTACAGTGATTCGTGCTTTTTGTCCACTGAACGTAATGTCTTGCAGGCTAAGCCCTGATTCCTTTGCAACTCGAGTCTGAAGGTCTTCCGAGCCCAAGTTTACATCATTGTGGAATATGACATCCACTTCGACTTCCTCCTCTAAACCTTTGAGGATAGGTGAGACTTTGAGCTCCTTGCGGTATATATCCGCATAGAGGACCGGGGCCAGTTGACGAATCTTGGCCAAGCTGACGTATGTGTAGCTGCAAAGACGTGTGTTTATCGGGACGTACTTGAGGGGCACAAGATTGGCATCGGCTAGGTCCCGTCTCTTTGACGCCCCAAGCTTTTTCTCATGGGTTTGGATTAGTACGTAATTGGTCCCCGATGCGTCCTCCTTCGGCTTAATTGAAGGATCAAGAGGGTTCCCGTTGATGAGGATTGGGTATAGTGGCTTCAGAGCAGTCTAAAACACGGGGAAGTTAGTAAGATATCTCGAGTCATATAACAAACCAATTACTCCGTTTTGTATCGGCATACCTCTTGTTCGGCATCCGTGCTTTCTCCTGGGGTTGGATGTCCTTTATCTCGATGTTGTCTATTTGTAATATCTGGGGGCGTCATGGTTTTATTAGGCGAATAAGATTCAGGTTTGGGTAGAAGCTGTTGCATAATTATACGATTATGGCGAAGTGCAAGTTCCACGGGTGTAAAACCGTCGTCGTCTTCAGCTTCTATATTAGCTCCAGCCTCAACCAGAAGCTTCACCATTGTCTCATGTCCAAGACTAACTGCCATATGCAGTGGCGTCTAGCCATCAGCATCTTTGCTTTTGATGTTAATTCCATGTTTAATTAGAAGTTTCACGGCCTCTTCCTTTTTTAAGAAAATTGCAATATGCAGCGGTGTCCAGCCGCCGTTATTCATGCTTTCTATATTAGCTCCAGCTTCGAGTAGAATCTTCACTGTTGCTTCGTCGCCGCTATTTATTGCAGAATGCAGTGGTGTCCGACCATTCCGATCCGCGATATTTGGATCAGCATAGTAGTCGAGAAGTAACCCTACAATTCCAGGTTGGCCTTTTATCGCTGCAGTATCTAAAACTGTTGACCCGGAAGCATCCTCGGTATTTGGGTTGGCCCCGTATTCAAGTAGCAGCTTTACTAGCTCGCGATTTTTGTGTTCGGTAGCGACATGAAGAAGAGTCAACCCAGATGCATTGGTGAAATTCAAATCATCTCCTTCTTTTAAGATGGCCCCGATCCCCGCGGGATCCCCGCGATCGACCATATCGAATAATATAGCTTGTATTCTTGAATCCATTATGCTTCATGAAGATAGACATGGAAGAGTGATATAGAGGTCGTTAAGATATAAACTTTTGACGCACCATTAGAAGAAACAAATATGGAGTATAAGGCGGCCTATTTCCTAGGAAGCTACAAGCTAATTTCGGATGAAAGTGTGAGCTAGAAGCCTCTTAATATTGAATACTTGCATATACAACGCTTTGATATATTGGTTCTAGGCTTGAGGGCGAACCCTATTTCTAAAAATATGATAGGTACTCTATTCTTTCCGAGCGAGCATTACGAATTTAGGATTCTGCTATCGTCGAATATAGCTACCCGTTTATTACAATCATAATGAGCACATTCATCAGCGCACTCGTCCGTAGTGTATAATATTGATTATCACTTATTAGGATGAGTGACTGGTAATAAATCAGCAAAATTATGTACTTATTGTAACATTTCAACACCGAACAAGGTATCTAGGTATGTATAGCCTCACTTTCAAGATTACGCCGATCGATCTTTAGGTTTAAGGCTAGCAAGAAAGTCAGACGTCATGGCGGAGGTTTATCTCCTGAGGGAGGTGCTAACTATACTCACGTGGTCTGGCCGGGCTTCGTGACTAGGATAAGTTAATATGCAGAAGTACATGTCAGCCTCGTTTTATAATGTTTCTATTAAAATATCAAAGAGGTTACCATTATCTCCGTTAGCGCGTAGCATCCCTGCAGTCAGCCTTATATGTAATATAATACTATACACTTTATACCGGAATAATAGTAGTCTTTTAATCACTTATATACCTAAAACTAAGTAAATATGTCTAGGTAGTTATTTAAATTTCCTTATACCAAATCCATAAATCACAACCCCAAGCTATACAGCATAGTCCACTTTATTTAACGAAACCCCTACATATCCAGTTTGAGGCTGATATATAAAAAAGATAGCATCATGTATAATACAGTGCAAGTTATATGCATTCTACAGAAGTATACATACCTAGCCTATCACACAAGCCCGTTTCTATACAGCACTAGTACTAAATCACCGATCTCTATAAAGCCAAACGTAACGGTTTTACCCCAGCCCTGCGAAACATGCATTATATACAGGACCCGTCCTTCCAGTAGGCAGGAGAACTTCCACGTTACCAGGTAATTGCTTATACGAGGCAACCAGGTTAACAATGAACCTATTCACACAATGTTATTTAATATACTGGGTATATACCACCCACATATACCGAAGCGTCCCGCAGGCCACGCACAAACGGCCAGTCGGTTCGGAGTCCGAGGCCCGCGGTGACGTGATGCCCCAAGATGCCCCAAGATGCCGTCCCCGGTATTAAGCGGAGCCGTGGTACATACCGTACGTACACAGATAGAAATAGACGAACGGGCAAGCTGATCTACGTCGATGGACTCTTATCAGTTAGTCAGCCTCGTAACGATATAAACGACTTACAAATGGTGTGCTATAGCATTTGATAATACTCGCATCGCATACTTAACTCCACTTCTACTTAACGGTAGGGTTAGACTAGTAAATACATCCAACGTGCAGTACAAGGTATGTTTCTTTATCTGGAAAATAATTCGGCATAGGTAGCCGAGATAATAATTGGGTCTAGACTATAAAGTAATATTGTACGATATTGTATATATGATTGGGCTATAAATGTACGTGTAAACTAGTAGAAATACGTGGCCCACAGAGAATTACGTGAACTAATAGTCTTAGGTCAGCTTATTTCATTTCCAATAGCAGTAACAAATTGACTCCTCACATGACGTGACATATGCCTTTGAGAACACACGAACCATAGGTCGATCAAATCTAAATAAATAGAATTTATCAAAGTTCGTGCAGTTTGACAGGTGCATATGCGAGGGTTAGTTAGGGGTACTATGACTACCATTGCCTACCTTCATATTGTTAGAAAAACCGAGTTTCAAGACCGCTAAAGGGGGAACCGTAGTTGACCGATAGTGTTGATATACCAGGATCGTAGCGATGTCATGCATACATATAGGCGTGGATAGCCTATATTGTTGCCAAAGGGGCTAGGAATCGTATGTGAAAGATGATAAGGGTATCCCATTAACCACGACGCAGAGACACATGTTGGTCCTTGCCCGGACCAAACATCTCAAGCCTCAAACCAGCCGGAAGCCGAGAACGTGGCTTCTCCAGGCTAGTTATGCTTGCTAAGGATCTAAACTATCCATTTCTTATTATTAAGTGAGGCGTTATCGTATCGTATCTGCATGATCTTTAGATTCGCAGTTCTCTTCCCTCGATCTGGTTGGATTTGTAGCTTCCCATTCAGGTTAGGTACCTAAGGACGACGAGTCCCGCTATATATGGGTGGAGAATTTGTGAGGGAGCTGGTGGCAGTAGGAGGGACCAAGACGTTGTAGATCTGTAAGAGCAGCGGTGAGATGGTGTTAAGGTTCACTAAGCCCTCAATAGGCCCTAGAGGGGTCTAGGTTCCATCTCGTCTACGAAGCCAAGTCGTAGTGCATATAGGAACTTACTTGAACGAGCAAGTCCGCGGTGTTCCTTCAAAGCATTCTGATTGGTGTTATCGCTGCGAAAATCGGCGAGGTTGAACGGTGCATCCCTTCTGTTCCTCTATCGCTAGCCTTAGGTGAATGTGATCTTCTTGCCCATCAAATCCTTGAAGACATCATCGAGGGCTTTCCGCTTCTTGGCCTTGTCCTTACTGGCCTCGTCTAGGGACTCGTCCTCATCCTCATAATCATCGCCTTCTAAGCGGGGTAACCACGCCCTGATTTGACCATCGAGGTGAGCGCTAAAGATAGCACCAGCCATATTGCTACCACCCATGACGACACCGCTTGAACTGCCGCCGCCGCCTGCTCCCCTCCAGACTATGCTAGCAATTCGATTCTTGGTGGTGCGTTGGGCACCACTGGTAGATCTAACACCCGCTACAGTTGGACCAGTTCCTCTCAGCTTCGTGACCACGTGGCCATCATGTAAGTTCAAGACGAGGATCTCAGTCTCATTAGGCCAGAAGAGCAATTCCTTACCGGGATGAGTTAGGCCCATTGGTGATGTAAACATGGTAATGCTTGCTAGCTGGCTGTTCCTGATGCTTGGTCCAAAGCTCGCGAGTGTGTTCTTCCCGGTAGCGGCATCCCATACACGGATACGTCGGTCGTGACCCGCTGACACGATGTACGCTCCATCGTCCGTCCATGTTAGACCATTCACAGGGGCAGTATGCGCTCTCGCGGAGGCTCGAGTTCTGACTTTGCCACTAGCATCTATAAGGCCGTTGTAATATAGCCCTAGACTGTCTTCGTGATCTAACATGCCAATGACCCCACCAGCCCGACGAATATCCCAGACTTTGACCGTTCCGTTTACACAACCGGTAGCGAGGACATGCTCGTGTCTAGGGGACCACGCAGTGGCCAGAATGGCACCTGAGTGGCCAGGTACTAATGTTTGAACGTTAGAGCCAGAGCGTAGATCCACCAAACGCACAGCAGGGTGTTGCGTTCCACATGCGACTAGTAAGTGTGAGGCAATTGGTGATATGGCATGCGTATATGCCTTGAAACCGAGATTAAAGGAGGCAGAGACTGTGGCCCTTTCTGTAGCCCACACTTTTAGGGTTTGATCGTACGATGTTGAAAGAAAAGCAGCCGAATCGAAGGGGTAGAGAAGAGAGATGCGTGATACCAAACTTGTGGGTTTGGTCCGAACGCGAGACTTTAGCGATAGGGGTATGAGTATGGGCCGTTGAGGGATTGCTACACTGCTCTAGATCCCAGAGCTTTATGGACGCATCCAATCCTCCCGACACAAGGCTGAACTTGTTAGCTTAAAAAAAAACTACATGTAATGATACATATATATATTTAGCCGTAGAAGTACTCACATTCTGCCGTCGAAGCGATCGAGCGCTAACGCGTTAACACCAGTTTGATGTGACCATAGCGTAGAAGTGGGATCTGGGGCTATTGATCCCTCCTCATCATTTCTAACGCAGCAGTACCTCTCTCGCCGCCATCGAAGCGAAACTCGGGTGCAGGACGAAACGAGTGTAAGAGTTGTGTTGTCTGTATCCTAGCGAATACATTAGGCCCAATGCTACCGATCGACCGCTCAAAAAGAAATTGATTCATTCATTAGAATAGAAGACCACCACGGTCTATTTTACTCGAATGAGAGCGGTTACAATACAGACAGGGAAGTAATTGCAAATGTTAATTGGAGATTTGTAAGTGTCGTTGTACTAAATTCAGAGCCGCATTTCTAGTTTGTAGGCGGGGAGAAACTGGAAATATTACGTAGTTGGTACGTAGCTTTAGTGTCCCCCCCCCGCCAAGCCTAAATTGTGAAGTACCAATAAACACGTAACTACCTAGAATAAGGTTTACGCTACCTACTTCCTAACAGTAGACGCAATTGGAATATACAATTCTAAGGCAACTTTAAGTAAAGTCCGCTTTTAGAAATTACACTATTTCGCCTCGTGACTTCGTTGTGGTCACCAACGACCTTTAGCGTTTCGATACAAGCGGATATTCGACTTCTTGAAAGTTATGATGGAGGCAAATGAGAATACAACCCACAAAGCTACACTACTATCGTCTAGCTTTGTTTAGAAGTTTCACAAACTACCTAAAGTACCTATACCTAACCTAGCGCTTAAAGTCGAACTTCACAATCGACAGGCTAGATGTGAAGATGACATCTAGAAGAGCCAAAGAGAAACGCTTCGTAGCGCCTCCGGAAGTGGACAATGTTACAGAGACTGGAACCGAAGCTAATATCCTAGACGATCGTAGATGGAAGCGCAGGAGAAGAAATGCCAATGTCTACGACGCGGTAGCAGGTTTGTAATTCTAAATATCTTATTCGTCTACAATTCACCTTTCACCGCATATTCGTGGCAATCTAGACAGATGTTAACTGGCTGCATTGTTAGGTCGAGTTACCACTACTCTCCCTTTAGACGATGGATCCGAGTCCGAGATACCCTCTCATCACTCTCGGACTTCGCGAGACCACCGTCGCGATCCTACACTCGCGCCAGAAGAAGTCCTATTTCGCCGCATCCGCGCACCCGTGCGCTATGCCGAAAAGGATATATATCACGCCCACGAGGAATTGCGGGACGGTGGCAGAGGCACACTACCCGAGAGTGATATGCTCAAAGCAGTCCATAGCTACTCTAGCCACTTCTACGCGGCACTTGCCACGACCCGGGGTGAAACCGACACTCGAAATATCGACGAGCAGAGTATGGACGAAACTGCACTCTTAGCTTTTGGCATATTACTCGAGGAGGCGAGCCGGAACACTCTCGGTAAAACGGGAGACCTGGTGTTTACCGAGGGTGTGGCAGCGAGGCAAGACGGAGAACCGGGGGATAATGATGATGATGAAACTGTGGGCTTTAAGGCTTCAATAATGGGGCGATGACAGTTAAGATCGCGGAGTAGTAATCTTAATAGCGCAATAAGCTCAATGAGGCCTCTCAGCTCAAAAGCTGCACTCCCCAAATTGGTATGCAATATCCATGGGGGTTGACCGACGGCATGTTCTCGGAGACATTAGGTTGCAGTGACGCTTGACAGGGTTCGCCTCCCATATTTACATTTCTAATAACAAGGCTGATGGTGCCCAGCGATATTTTCCTAGGATTTTCGTTCGGGGTTGGAGGTTGGTGTATAATTGTATGGGAATCCCACTGACAGACGCATCCACTCACCTTGTCAGCCAACGAAACCCACCCGAGACCACCCAGTACCGTTTGAACCAGGGAAAAGGTTAAAGGGTCTTCGGTGCGGAGTAGCATTCTGCATCACTTAACTAGATCGCTGGGACGATCTTCATTGCCGCTTTCGAGCTGACGCGAGTCTGGCAAGGCTGCCGAAGAATATAGCATCATAATCTCGAGCTTATTCCGACGAGCGAATAAGCCTATCCACTAGATAGGCAATTTTTGTTGATCACACGCGACCTCTGTTTGCTCGTGCATGTGAGTTTGTGAATGTGCGTAATGCGTGTATGCACACGGAGTCAAGTCGGAGACGTCTTCAGTGGCCGCAGGTTATGAGGCCCATCCCGTGTTTGGTCCATACAGGCAAGAGCATCGGTTGGGCGAAAATGAGAATTCTCATACTGTAAAATGGCTGAATGGTCACCAAGCGGCAGGCACCTGGAATACAAAAGAGATAGGTCATAATTGCTGAGCCGTGGCTCGCGGTCTTTGGACTGGCAGAGACGCAATGCAGATCTCCCAAGAGGTTCCAGGCGCTCTGATACCGCTGCAAGCTGTGCAGGTGCAAGCGATTGGGTATGACATGAATCATGTCCCTGCGCAGACCACGGTGGTATGTATTCGCAGCGTGACCTATCTCCGTCTCAAATCCCGAACCCTGGAATTGGAATCTTCTTAATCATGCCATATTCCCAATACGGCGTTGCGGGCGGGCGAAAGGAATGGAGTAGAAAAACACACCGCAACACCTTCGTGACCTTTTCAAAATATGATTTATCACATCTGCAGCTTTCTGACTGTTTGGGTAACGTACTACGAAATATATGCATACGTAGATATAATAGGACACATTAGGTATGAAGAGAGATAATAGGAGAGATAATGGATGGAGGTATGGATATACCTAGGTTAGGTATGTAGACAAGTAGGCAAATAGGCAAGTAGGTATGGCATATGACGGAGCCAAGGACCAGGTTGGAGGCAACGAAATACTATGGTAGATTATGAAGGTGGCTTCGGAGGCTTTTTAGAAATGGAGCTGATATCCAATAGACGGCATCTTTAAACGGCACCATCACAGCGTTATGCATTATGTATTAGTATGTATGTAGGTCTCCTGTCGTGACTTCTGTTTATTTTGTAGCACGGATGGATTGTACCCATCCAATTGTAACCAACCCTACCGAAACTAAGTAACGTGATTCACAAATCAAAGGCCTATACAAATTAAAGGCCCACGATTTTATACCTATCTAATTAATCATTTATTATATAATAATAACGTTTAAAATTAATTAAAAATTAGTTTAATTTTTATAATTAAAGGTTTCTAATTTAACTTAATAAATTTACGCGTTATAATCTATATTATTATAAATATTATAACATTATTAACTTTATTATTATTTTTTATAAAATTATTTTAACAATTATAATATTACTTTTAACGTTAATACTATTTTTTTAGGTTAATAACACGTTTTTTTTTTTTAAATAAAAGGTTTTTTTTTTTATAATTATTTATTTTTTACCTATTAACATTTAAAAAGTATAATTTATTTTTCGGAAATTTAAAACTTTTTTTTTTAATATAACTATTTTATATAATAATTTATACGTAATTTTATTTAATTTATTAATAATTTTTAAAATTTTAATTAGCAAATTAATTAGTAGATAAAGATTTTATTACGTATAAAAATAAACTATAATATAATTTTATTAATATTTTTAATATTTTAAATATTTAAAATAAGTTAGGTAATTTGGGATTTAAGGTAAAAAACGCGTAATTTTAACAATATTAAGTTATAAAATAACCTGATTAAAGTTTAAAAAAATTAGCCTAGTAATTTTAAAGTTAACCCGTTTTTTTTTAATAAAACGGTATTGTAAATTTGCCGAAAAGTTAAAAAAAAAATTTTTTTCTAATATAAATTAAACCCTATCGCATTAAATTTTTAATAATTATTTTGTATACGCGTTTTAAAATTAAAAAAACGTTTATATTTAAAGGCTAAAATTTATAAAATAAATAGGTAGGTATATAAAAGGATATAATATTATTATTACGGTAATATTTATAAAATTTTATTAATAATAACTTTTATAATTATTTAATATTAAAAGGCGTTTATATCTTTTATATACTTTTTTATATTTATTAAAATGCGCTAACCATTCTAAGCTAATTTCATTTATAATTTAACCGTTTTTAAATAATTTAATAATTTAATTAGGTAAGAATTTATTATTGAATTATTAAAAATAAAATATATTTTATTTATTATAATAAAAAGCGATATAGTTTAATTTTATAAATTAATTAATTAAATAGTTATAAATTATTTTTTATTAAATAATTTAATAAAATTTTAACGTTAATTTAAATTTATAATAATTATTTTTAATAATATATTTATATAAACCCAATTTATTAAAATTATATATATTTTTAAATAAATATTTTTTTTTTTATTATATTAGTAATTAATTTATATTATGCATAATAAACGTTAAGATTTTTATAAAAAACTTTTTAATAATTAATTTAATAATTTAAACGCGTTTTAAGTTTAAATTATTAGCGTATAAAATTTATGGCTTAATTTTTTTTAATAGGTTTTTTATTACGTTTTTATAATATATATTAGCTATTTTTTAATGTAATAAAGTTTAAAAGAAAAAGTTTAAATATTAATTTAAGAATATATTAAATAATAATATTTTTTTATATTAAATTAATTTTTATTATAGTTTATTATATTTACGCGTTATTAATAATTATATATTTTATTATATAACATTTTATATAAAATATTATAAACGCGTATAACACATTTTATATTAAAATTTTTATTACGTTTTATAGCGTTAAGAACCAGATTTATTTTAATTTTTTAAATAATTAAAATATTATAAATTAATTAAATAATTAATTATTGAAATTAGAAGGTAGTAGTTTAGATATTTTTAGGCTTTTAATTTGTATAGGTTTTTAATTTGTGGATTACGTTAGTTAATCTTACCAAACTTAATGTCCTTAACCGTATATTTTCCAGCCAGCTTAATTTTTGGAGGTGTCGAGGTGGCCCCAGGTGTTTTTCTGACCGGTCTACATGTAAGTACCATGTCCCTTGTGTCAATGGATGGTGGAAGCTGCCAACTTGGTTAGGTACCTAGGTACATATATATACCCTGCATCATTTTCCCGGGGTTAGATGGCCATACATGGTACGAATAAATCGGCTTTACTAATCTCGGACTAGTTATTTGCGGCAGTAGGCATGTCGGTAGGCATCTCCCCCTCTTCAACCGGCAAGGTAATGTCCCAATATTATGGATTTGGGTTTGCTAAAGTAAGATCTAACCAGTAAATCACTTATAGCAAATACCTAAACCAGGATATATTTGGTCATTCATAATTCATCATTCATCACTCATCATTCGTAACTTATCAGTCATCATCTGAAGATATTATAATTTAACCCATCCAATTTAAACAATTTAGATAATTTAGATCACGTAGCAAATAATATACCTAACACCATGTTGGTAACATTGAGAAGAAAAAAAAAAGAAAAGGAGATCGGGACCGAAATCTGATCGGTTGATACCGACGCAACCAACGCTCGCTTCTCGCTGCTCGGATCCAGCCCATTGGATCCACATCCTCCGAGGTTACCGTATGGGTGTTGCTAAGCAGGCAACGTCAGTCTGCGCCGCGAAAGGATTGCGGGCTGCGGGCTTTTCCTTGCTGATGTTATTATTGTCAGGAGGCAAGGGAGCAGCCGTCTTCTGTCAGAACCCGAACACGGCATGAAAAGGTGGCATTTAATATCAACAATAAGACGGGCGCAAAGAGACACTAACATCTGCAAGATCATTAATCAGACGGCAGATCCAACCCGTGGAGGCGTTTCATGATCGGACACATGTGACCTTCAGCCCCAATGTGCACCTTATAAATATGCACACGAAAGACCAAATACTATCTCGTGGCGGCTGCTCGAGATCGATGGCGCAAAGAAAAAAAAAGGGAGGTCAGCCAACAAGCAGGTTCCCGTATGGAGTAGATATGCTGTATTCGAATAAGGCCGAATAAGGGCAATTAAAGGCGAAGGAGGTGTAAGCCTTGTAAGAACCCATTCCAAACTTTGAAATAGCTTGGTAATCAAAATGGATTAAACGGGTGACAAGATGACCCGGTGGGAGCCGCAGCGCTTCTCCTATGGATAAACGACGGGTGAGATAAGCATATAACACTCTCAGATGGGAACATTCTGACACTCTTAGATGGGTGCGTATCGTGGGGTAAAGTGGGATTTTCAGATCCGCCAACATAAGTCTTGGGTACCATCGTAATAGAGATCCTCCTCTATAACACGTATTAGTTGCACTGTTAATCATTAACGTGAGTAATCGCCGTGTAGAAATAAATCGCTACTTAGCGAAAGTCCTTTAATTATTTACCATGTCGCAGATGAGATCGACAAAGATAGGTAAATAGCAATCAACATTTTTGCCGACTAATGATAGGATGGCGATACTATGTATATCGGAATCGAAGTAAGCTAGCGGCTAGATTGCACTGCATTGGTTTGATAGAACTCGACGCAGGATGCCGGCATAAACAAGTAGGATAACCTGTTGTCTTATCCTTATAGTTCACACGTTGTAGTTGTCTCTACAAGGTAGG